TAAAATGGGACTGACATCAGGGTTGGGGTGAGACTGAGAAAGATTGGATAAATTATGTATACTACATGGAAACAGACAAGGGAGAGAACTGTTTAAAAGTGATATATAATTGGGTATTATGGTCATGTCAAGAGTCCACAATGAAGGCTGCATAGTGGGGTGTACTGGTCGGGGAGGGGGGGATTCTATACCAATGAAAGAATTTTTTCTTTTACTTTTCCAAGAGAAGAGTGAACTGGGGGGAGGGAGGAGAAAAATGCAACAATGAATGAATGGAAATCCAAAATCTCTGTAAACTTTCACTAAAATTAATAAAAAAACCCAAACATGCTGGAGGGTCAACTATGAGTTAGTTCCAACTTGATGGTGCATATCAACAATATTCAACTAAAAGGTTAAGTTTGACTTCACTGATGTATCCCCGCCACTTAGAACAGTTTCTGGCGCAGGTTGAGGAATCAATACATTTTGAATACAGCTACAAACGAAGTCAATAAGCTCTGACCATAATAATGATACTGCTGATTAAGCCATGAGTTACTCTACAGCAACTACCATCAACAAGTCGAAAAAGCAAAACCAAAGGAGGATCTCTAAAATCAGACTTGAGGAATCAGAGATTTTCTCAACACACCGAAGTCACATCTAAATTCAGACTTTGAGGGACGACTAGGAAATAGAAGGTTCGAAAGTGACCGGAATAGACGAATGACCAGCACTGCTTGAGAAGGAGGTAGGACATGAAGAGTATGTGTAAAATGCTACAAAAGGTCCATGTGTTTCACGTGTTGAGCAAGAGAAGGCAGTAAAGACAGAGAGGTAAGTGAACTAAATCAGGAAGGCCTCTGTAAATCATGTAAAGGTGTTTTGAGTTGTATCCTAAAAATGGAAAGGAAATAGTAAAGAGTTTCAGAAAAAAAGAGGTCCCATCTTCATGTCACCTAGAGGTTCTGACTGCAATATGACGAATGAATCGAAGGAAATAAGAGAAAAAATATAGAGATGGGGCTGAGAGCAATGACAGTTATACGGTGTAGGGAGAGAGCAAGTAAATCTGTGGGAGGTTAAGGTCTCTAAGACTGGCTGCCAATCGAGTGTTTGGAAAGAGAGAAAGAGACAATGCTCAGGGAGTCAGGTGGACACTGGTACCTACCTACAGTGATCTCAGAGAAGAACAGCCAGGCTTAGGTTGCTATGAGTCATCTACGACGATGGCACTTAACAGCAACAACATAACTACCTGAGGTACATGGAAGTAAATGCTGCTAGTATGCCTGGCTTGAATAGGGATTTTCTAGGTTATAAGAACTGAATACTGAACTATTTTATAACCGTTTTACATAATAACGTCTTCCAAAAAAGCATGCCTTAAAAATCTACCTTCTAGTCAGAAAGTTTCTTCAAAAATATTTTTTAAACATTTATTCTAAAAGAAAAGGTTGACTTGTAGAGTGAAGAGAGGAACAATTTGAATCTTGTGAAAAAAGATGCAAACCCAGAAGGAGAAATATCTATAATGAAATTAAATATCAAACCTTTTCTTTCATGAGCTTCAAAAATTTACTCCCATAACAATAAGAAATTTTCTGGGGGGGGAAAAAATGTAACTCATACTCACAGGCTATCAAAAACACCTAAAGTCTATAAGTACCCTATAACCTATTAATTACAAGGGAGAAGTAACAGCTCAAGAATGAAGCATCTTCACTTTGAGGATAAAAGAAAGAAGCAATCAACAGACCAGAACATATCAAAGACAACTGCATCAAAGACACACCAAAAGAAACAATAATGTGAGCTCTTCACATATTAAAAGGAGGAAGCCAAGAAAGACAGAAACACTCAACAACAAAAATCATAATTCTACTAGTTTAGAAAACAATCTTGTATGAAATTTAGGGATCTGTCTGAAAAAGGCTATGTCAACCATCTCACTGTTCAGTTAACACCCAACTCTAGGCTCCATTTTTAATCCAGGTTAAAAAAAGACAAGTACTCATTAAATTTGTTAACAGTATCTATAAACACACTGGCTACTTGCCCTCCTACCAACAAGCTTCACAAATGCCACCTCTACCTTATAATTTAGATTACAGGCAGAAACCACCACTGAATTCTGTTAAGACACTTTTTCTTTCACAGACACCATTTACACTTTTAAAATATTACCAAGGAATCAATGAGAAATTCATATGTATGGTTCAGAAAATTCAAATGAGACTGCCATAGTGACCAAAAATGAATAGCCACTGCTCATTTAATCTGACCTATTCAAGGTACAGCTTACAGTAAGATCCAAAAACTTAGTTTTAGGCCTTAAAACTTCAGTGCTTTATGAGGAATGTTACCTCATTTGGCAATTTATGCTCTCAGTCTAATTCAATATATCTAAGCAAAATAAGAAATTCCTTTTACATATATATATTCCTTTTGCCAACTCCTCAACAGGTTTATATGTCAACAAACTGAAAATCTGCCTTTTACTAAAAAAATCTATACCTAAATTGGGACAACTGGAATGACAAATTTCAAGCATTAATAGAAATATTGTCTCTCTACTATTTTCCTATTTCCCCCCAAAATACACTTTTGTGTTTCTAGCCAACTCCTATTGGTGAGAAAGTAGTCCAGTGTTACCTCAATTCTTACAGTGAAAGCAGAGATGGGACAAAAACCGCTGAAGTCTTAAAAGAAGGAAAAACATTCAGCAAAACTTGTAAAGTTATAAAAGAATAAGATTAAAATACTTCATATTTAAAAAACAAACAAAACACCTTGCTAAGCATTTTTTACACACCTTGTCCTTACAAACTAAAGAAGAGTAAACCTTTAAAAGAACTGAATTAGAAAAAATTGTGGTGGGTGGAGTGCAAAGAAATAGAAGTTAGTATCTTGAAATATTTTTTCTTTTCAGATTAGTGTAAACCATAATAAAAGGGAAAAGAAACTATCCTTTATAAATTAATAAACAGGATGGCTAGTCCAAGTATTTAAATATATAAGATTTACATCTCGAGTTAGGTCAACATCCAATAAACACCTTTATTATATATAGCTTTAAAAAAAAAAACTGCCTGACTGTAGGCATAGAAAATAGACGACTGTTAAAATGGCCAGAATGCACTACTGAAATTGGTCTTTAATCAAAACATTTGGGTTTATGAACTGTACGGAGAATGATTGGGGGGGGGGGAAGATGAGGATAAAGTCTATTAAATACTATCTGTTCTAAATAAGAAAACCCAAGCTTCCCATATGCAATAGAGTTGTTAAAGATTACATTCCAATCTTCTACATCTTTGGAGCTTTTTAAAGCAAATGGTCTTACCCTAATTGCCTAGTTTCAAACATATAAATCAATTAAATCATTTTTATAAGCAAATTATTTTCAAATCCCCAAAGTGTCAAAAAAAGATAAGAAGTTCAAGACTTTAGAGAGCCCATGACAAAGAATACCAGCAAGGAAAGGCTTTATCAAAGTGGGTCAAGTTCCCATGACAGAACTGCTTTCCTCTTTTCCAATGAGTATTCTAAAACCGCCAAGGGCTTGGGGGCACTAACTGGGTACAGCCGTCAAACAGAAGGTAAACAGCTCTACACCAACAGCTGAGTGGCCTGGGAAAATCTGAGTGACGGCCCTACAGGCACATGCAAGTACGCATCTTTTCTATTGGATGTGATACACTTACATGGCCCCTGTGGAATCTCTTGGGGGCCCAACAGTAAAGCAAGTTTAGCACTTCAAATCTTGAGACATCTATAGCAAGATGCGGATCCAATGTGGCTCCCATTATCTTCCGTTTTCCTGGCTCACCTGAAGAGGAAAAAACACTACAGAGGATGTGGGAACTGAACGTCTTGTGGTCATTCTTCTAGCGCAACTGTCTGAAAGCTTTGGGCCAATCCTTTAGGCAGGTGGAGATGTGGCAACCAAGGGACGAGGGAAAAACAAAATCAAACGGAAAGGTGGAGTGAGGTGTCTAAAAAGGCCAAGGGGATCACCAGAGACAATCTTCTGAGGCCAGTGTTTCTACGCCTTAGGTGGGAGGAGGTGGAGGAAGGAAAGGAAAAATAATGCACAGATGTTTCTTCCTTCACTCCCTCCCTCAGTCACCGCTACATATTACAGAGGACTAAACTTTCTGAGCACAATTAGGAAGAGAATAAGCAAGATTATGTGGAAGGTTTTAGCCCGTTGTCATATCTCCTCCCCTGGATAGGTGGGTGACGGACCTTAGGAACCAGCAGGGAGCACTTGCAGATTATATTTATTTATCTATTATCTATATGCTCTACTATATTATCATTTATAATATTATACATATTCTATAATACAATTTAATTTATAATATAAATATTATCTACTATCATTTATAATATTATAAATATTATAGAATATAGATATTATATTTATTCTATTATATATTAATATTTATTTATATTTTCTAAGAAAAGGTCTGGTGGAACACAGTTTGAAACAATAAAGAAAGAGAAAATTTAATTTGTAAAATAAATGGAAGTCACAGGACAACATACTGTATTGACAGATTTTATTCAATTATATCTTTTTCTAAAAGGGTAGGGACAGATTTCACGAAAGAAGAAATCAGAAAGTAGTTTCCAAATAATTAATAGAAAGTCATTTTAATTTAGGCAGTGCAGATTACATGCTACATCTTTGAAAATTTCATCTTGGAAATACCATCTTCAAAAAAATAAGCACCACAACCACATAGAATGTACTTTATTATACAAAGACAATAAAAAGATAGTCTATTATGTTAATTTTGCTTTTCATGAATGTTAAATTTTTCTTAAAATATTTTATCTAAACTTTATAGGATTACAGTTTTTCTTCTATAAGCACAAAATAGCCTAGGATAGAAAGTTATTTTCTTCCTAAATATATTCCATTTTAACCAGAATGTTCTTGAACTATGTTTGGGAAGAGTATCAGAATTTTCTGGAAAATGAAATTGGAGAAATAAGAAGATCCTTACCTGGCGTGGCTGTTCATTCATTCGTTGTGGGTCTGATTTCACTTTATTACTAGGATGATTCGTGACTTTGGTGACAGGTTGTTTGAAAATTGATGCTGTTTGTCTAATTGGCAATGTTGTATTCAAGTCTGGTTTACCCTGTGAATGCAAGAGTGTTTTCATTAGTAAACATTATATGTAAACACATAGAGATTAATTCTTCTTTCAAAATTAAATATTCTTTACTTTAATGCATATTATTCCAAACTTTCATTTTATCTCAGCATCTTAAAATCTATTTTTAAGGACTTTATTGTGTAAGACATTTGTGAGTTTGCTCATAAGTAAATCAAAAGGGGAATGTATGTGTGCATATATTTATATATGTTTAAGAAATATTTATCATATTAAATCGGCACAGGACAGAGCACAGTTTACAGCTGTTGTACAAAGGGTCGCTATGAGTCGCAGGTGACCCGACGGCATACAACAACAACATTAATAATTTGGCAAGACACTTTTATAATTCTTTTTTTTTAATTTTATTGTTTTTTGTGTGTACCGTCAGGTTATATCTGACTGGTACAGGAGGAGAGTGCCCCTTTGTCCAGCACAGCATCTGGCAAGACAGTTTTAAATGAGCAAATGTGTTTAAGACTGGGCTATATATTAAACTGATAAGAACAGATACTACACTTGATCTTAGCCAAAAGGCCGAGAAGCGATGGGACTGGGTTATATAAATAGTAGGAGAACTTCAAGGATATGGTCAAGATCGCGATCATTTCTGCATATGAAGATGGAGAGAAATCTTAATGGACATCAAAATAGAAACAGCTAGATCAGCTGTTAGGAAACTAAGTTTATAAATTAGCCTCTCCCTTTTATATAAGTACAAGATAATTCAAATTGGTATTTCTCATTCCAGCAAACCGAACTCAACTTTGAAAAATCTGATCGATAAATGAAAGTATTTATTATTTTTAAGATGCATCACATTTTAAGACATTTTAAAAAGACTTAAAATTGAAGCTTCAGAAAGTCAAACAACATCTTTATTTTTAACCACTTTTGAGTGAAATCAAAGCATGACACGCAATAGCTATTAAAGTGATCCACAATACTCAACACTAACAAGCAGAAAGCAAAGGAACAAGACTCAAAATGTAATCATTTGTGACTTGAGTCTGATAAAAAGAAATGAGCATCTATATCTGACAATAACATACATCTAATATTTTTTCTATACAATGTAACTGATACAATGGACAGGGCATTCTATGAACTTTCCTCTTTATCACTATCTCTAGATTGTTATTGTTGTTGCTGTTCTTTGCTATTGGATAGGAACCAGCTCCGAGGTGACCGTCGAGCGGGTTACCACGGGCCGTAAATCTCACAAGGACAGGTGCCGTAAATCTCACAAGGACAGGTTGCCCATCTTTCTTCCATGGGTCAGCTGGAGGACTCATGCCTTTGGTGGCAATGCAGCTCCCTACCCCTGAGCCACCAGAGCTCCTTATCCCTAGATGTTGTTTGTTGTTATATGTCCTCAAGTCAATTACGTCTCACGGTGACCCTAAGAATAATGAACGACTCGGAGTCTTGCCTTATCCTGAGCCAACCTCACCATCTGCAACACACCTCACCCCACTGCCAGTCACTGGGTCAGCCCACCTCACCCAGGGTCTTCCTCTCTTGCACTGACCTTCTACCCTTCCAATCATAATGTCCTTCTGCAAGGACTGGTCTCTTCCATACTCGGAAACACTGGTTCTCAAGGTTGGGAATCCATCAGAATTGTGAGAAGACTTGTTTAAATACAGATTCCTGAGCCTCTTCCCTGGAGATTGGATGCCTGGCCTGGACTTTCTCTTTCCTGTGAGAGACTAAGACAGTGACGATGTTGCTAGGCCTGCAGCATCAGGACCACACTCAAAAAACCCACTGCTCTGAAATAATGAGGCAAAGTGGTGGCAGCTGGACCAATTCTAGCCAAAGACGTGTTTTAACTTTCTTATTTTGGGGGTTCATTTCATTTTTTTAAAAAGGAAGGCAATATTTTAAAATTTTGAGACTTTATATAAAAATCCAGGATTCCAGGATCTGTTAAAAACAGAAATCCTAGAGTACTGGCCTTGGCTGGACAACAGGCCATGACTGACTGGCCCAATAAAGAGGTCAAGGAGTCTCCTTTTGCAACATTCCTCAACACTCACCTTTGCATCACCTCTCTGGGCCCGACAGGCACTGAGTTTTAACCTCTGTTTAAAAACATTAGCATCCCTAGGAAGACAAACGTCAGCCTAAATGAATCGAACAGTGACGGCAATTATACAGAATTAACTTGGACTGGCACATGCGTGTCTAGGTCACCTATGGACTCTTCGTCTTTGGACTAGACAGGATTGCTATTCCTCGTCTCACTCCGTTGTCTCCAAACCTATTTGCTTACCTAGATACGCATCTCAGATTGACTCTACAAGTATTTCCCAGGGGTCTAGCTTTCTTATCTTGACATGTTTTAAGATGAATCATTTCATTTGTAAGTGCATAAACCTGAATGGCAGGTTACAAAATAACCACATAGCATGCCACATCTAAGAGGAGGAGGGTCTAGGAATATGCATTTTAAAGAGCTTGACAGGTATTTCTGTGATGCACAGCCCAGGTCTGAACACCCCTGATTCCTGACCCTCATTGGTTCTCTGAAGCCATAACTGAAGTCCCCCCAAAACTGATAAAATGGTCAATATTCAATCCTCAAGAAACTCAGCACCTAAGTGCTTTTGGGAATGAGTAACTCCTCTTGTCACTGATAGGCCATCACTGTGCCCTAAACAACACCCAATTTGGTGTTTGCTTTTGTTCCTCAATAAAAAGCAATATATTCTACCGGCATTATAAGCAAAGATGCCATCAGGAGAAGTATATTGTAACTGCTTGCATAAACTGCTGTTTGGGCATCTGTAATATTTTTCTTACAAGGGAAACAGGAGGCAACTGTTGCTCTTGTTATGTACCATCAAGTCTGAACTGACTCAGCTGACCCTACAGTGTGTTTCCAGAGGCTGCAAATCACATAGGGAAGAGGCTACTCATATTTCTCCTTCGAGGCAGCTGGTAGATTCAAACTGCCCACCTCTGGGTTAGTGGCTCAACTCTCTGCCTACTAGGCCACCACAGCCCCCTGGAGACAACTGGGACTCTGCTAAACTATGGCTAAAGGGCAGAAGGCAGGCATGGAGTGTAAAATTATTGATCCCATTGTTTCATTAACTTGATTCTGGTGAAATGAATAAAGATTAGAAGAAAAAGCTAACACGTTCCAAATATACAATCATCTTCTATTGTCTGACAATGAGATAGTTCATTCTCCAATAGCAAGAAAGGACAGATACCATTGTTACTGTGCTGAGTTTACTCTGCCCTCACTCTAATTTTGTTCATTCTTTCAGAGTATTTTTTTTTCCTCTCTTTTAATTGACTTTAAATTGAGAGATAGAATTTTTTTTTACTTATTTTGTGTTGGAAAACAGTATCATATAAAGTTGAGCAATCTATAAAGCAAGATGAACTGGTTTCCCAGAAACTGTCACAGTAAATTTTGTTACTTCTCATCCCTGGGGACTGCCAAATAGTCACTGTTAAGTCATTCCAAGCTGTGTGTCTGCAACTTGCTAAATAACTACCAGTCTTTCAGGAAAGGAAGGCTTAAAAAGCAAACATTTTTTGTATGTGATGAAATTAAATGGATAAAACCACACATTCTAAGATTAAAAGGAAGTTTCCAACCTTTGATAAATCTTCTGTTGATAAGCTAGTCCACAAATTAACATTTTAAGAATTTTATATTACTATGATACTAAGCTAAAAGTATTTAAATAACTCAGACAATGTTTAGGGGTCCACAGGATGAATTGACATCGTCCAATGATGGATTTACACACGATGTAGATCAGGAGAATAATACACGATAGGGCAAGATTTCAATCTGTTGTGCACAGAGTCGCTATGAGTTGCAGTGGACTAAATGACACCTAACAATAATGCTACCCCTCTGGGTACTGAGAGATGGGAGCTCTGATGGCTTATTTGTAAGGAGCTTTACAGCCAACCCAAAGGTGGGTTGTTATGTGCTATCGAGTCGCCTGTGAATCATAGCGACCCTAAACAACATCCCTAAACACTGCTCTATCCCATGCAAATCTTGTTGTCTCTGACACACCTATCCCCATTAGCTCACTCACTGAATCAATCCACCTCATCAAGGGTCTTTCTCTCCTGCACTGTCCCTCCACCCTCCCAAGCATGACATCCCTCTCCAAGGACTGATCCCGCCTTGCAACTTCTCCAAAGTATATCAGATGAAGCTTCAGAATCCTTTCCTCCAAGGAGCAGCCTGGCTTCACCCTCTCCAAGACAAATCCATTTGTTCTCCTAGCAGTCCATGGTATATTCAATACTCTTCTCCAGCACCAAAGCTCAAAGGCACAAACTCTCCTTCTATCCTCCCTAATCATTGTCCAGCCTTCTCATGCATAGCAAGTAATTGCAAAGACCATTGCCTGTATCAGGAGCACCTTAGTCTCCAGACTGACATCGTTGCTCTTTAGTACTTCGTACATGGCTTCATATCTGCCAGCTGATCCACGGGAAAAAGATGGGTAATCTTCTCCTGTGCAACTTACACCCTGAAAACCTGATGGAGGGTGAGCTCTGGGTTGGTTCCAGCTCAATGGTACACAACAAGAAATATGGAGAAAAATAGAACTTCTTTTATTTTTTTAACTTGTATCTTTTTTTCCCCAATAAGTAACTTAATGTTGCTCTTTATATATACTCACAATAGGCAAATATGATATCAAAATAGTATCTTAAAAATGGAACACCAAGGAAACTAGGAAAACAAATCTTTACAGCAGTGATACTAGAAAGCTCTATGTGGATACGAAATTTCTCAAGGTGTACGCAAAAAGAGATTGTTACATTATGTAGCTACTATGGTCAGAAAAAAGGCAAGCACCCAACTGATGAGAAAGATAAGTGTCCTACTAATAAATCTAAATAATGAAGAAAGAGGATCAATATGTCAATTTCTACAAAACAGGTTTCAGATGCTTTTGTCAGTGGCCTTACACAAAAGTCAAGATCACACA